TTCTATATCTTTATTTCTACCCTCTGTCCTGAACAGATGAATTTCAGGTATTTTCTTAGAGTTTATGCATTGCAGGATTCAGTTCTATTTAATTCAATGAATGGCACCTTGATTTGGATTAAGGTAACATATAACTTGTGGAAGATGGAAATAGAGTGAGTTAAATAGAAAGCAGGTACAGAACAATCTAAGGAGGATTATTTACCTTTTAAATAAAGATCTAGAGATCTTACTAAACTATTTTTTCATGCTGCACCAATCATACCCTGAAGTATGAGGAAATTTAGGAGAGTCAATGATTGTCATCTTCAAAAAAGATTTAGATATTTATACTGCCCTGCCTTGATAGGAAAAGAAACTTTTATTTGTTCTATTTATAGTAATAACCTGAGTTCCAGACACAGTTTCAGAGTATGATCACCACATTGCACATTTAGCTGTGTAGTTTCCTGTTTACGCTCAAATGCAATATAAAAACATTTCAGTTTAGACATCGGGGGTCCTCATTCACCACAGTTTTTGCTTTTCATTGTTACACGTATATATATTATTACATGTGGCAATGGTATTTTCAGTTTTGAAAGAGTATTAGTGACATTAGAGGACCTGATAATCGTTAATACTATACATTCCTGACTTAAAGATAAAATTTTAATTAGAGCAGTAACTCTGAAGTAGCAGTGGCTGCCATTATGGAAATTTACTGTGTATTAGGCACTGGTAGAGCCTTTACATGGATGTTCTCAAATAAAAGCCTTTAAGGTAGCTATTACTTGCTTTTATAGAGAAGAACAATATGGAGGCTCAGAAAGCTTAAGTAATTTGATTAACATCACATAGTTGGGAGAGCCAGGATTTTTGTCTCAGTCAAAAACTTGTGCTGATTCCATCCAACCCCAAGCATGCTGTTTCCAGGTAACTTTTAGTTTTAAGAGTTGGAGATTCCATGTATGCTCTCCACCATCAAAAAATTAGATTATTAGATTATTCTACCTTTTAAGGTACTTTGCTGCAAAAGCTGGGTTCAAGGGTTGCTCTCTGGAACTCCTCCACCCCAGTCTCTTCCTCTGAACTTCAGTTGTCCTTCATGTCACATGTCCTTACCAGTATTTCCCTCCTGTATCATAGTAGCTTATGAATACTTATTAGCTCTGCTGTGAGACTTTGAAGGCAGAATTCCCTTCTTCGTTATCTTCAGTGCCTTTTTTTTTTAATAAGAACCTCAATAAATATTTCTTGAATGAAATATGAGGTAATGAACTTTTTAAAAAATTTATTTTTCTCAGGTATATGTCCATTATTTGGAATATAAGGTTTATAAATACTTGCTTCATTTACATGCTGTCTCTTCTGTCCTTCTCAGCCAAACTTCTTAAATGAGTTCATCTTGCCAAGATTCATTCTCATTTAGTGACTTCCCTTTTGTGGCCTGACCTTAAATGACCAGTGGAATTATTTGACCTGATCTTTTGAAATTCTCTAAGTGTTAGTTTCTGAGATACTCTTAAGTTTTCTTATTTTGTTCTTTGTGGTCTTTGTCTTTTAAGTGGTAACATTCTGTAGGATTCTGTCTTTGATCCTCTTGATCATGCTGAAAACTTTCCCTAGGTGATCTTATTTTACCATTTCTTGGCTTTGACTAGCTTCTGCGTCAGGAGTTGTAAATCACATATTTACAGGGGCCAGATAGGTAACATAAATGAGAGAAGAGGTGAAGAATAAGGAAAGACAGGACTCTGGGGGATTAAAGAATCTGTGTCGTGGCCAAAGCTCCAGCATATTGTTGGTATTTCAGAATATAGTATCCAGTATTGACAGAGCTTCTGTTTTTCAGGACAAATTAGAATTCACTTATTTGTTTATTTGAGAGAGACAGCTAGTGACAGAGATAGTGAGAAAGAGCACACATAGGGAGGAGAGGGAGAAGCAGGCTCCCGCTGAGCAGGAAGCCCAACGTGGGGCTCAATCCCAGGACCCTGGAATTATGACCTGAGCCGAAGGCAGACGCTTAACTGACTGAGCCACCCAGGCGCCCCTAGAATTCACTTTTAAATGTGAAGTTTTGGGGCACCTGGGTGGCTCAGTCGGTTAACTGTCCGACTCTTGATCTCAGGGTCGTGAGATCGAGCCCCACATTGGGCTCCCCACTCAGCGCGCTCAGCAGGGAGTCTGCTTGAGATTCTCTCTCTCTCTCTCTCTCTCTGCTCCCCCAGCTCTTGCACACGTGAGCTCTCTCTCTCAAAGAAATAAATCTTTAAAAAATATTTCTAAATTTTTTAAAAATGTGAAGTTTCAGTGTTTCGAAATATGAACTAATTTAAGATTTTAAACACAGGGCAGGCCAACAGAAAGCCTTTTTGAGTTTTCATGTTTATGTACACTAACTTTACTATTCTTCTGACTCCTGGATTTATAGCTCCACACCTGAGTTTTCTGCTGAGCTTCAGGCTGATCCTGTTCTGTTCTAGACTATATAGGAGTTCTGTGTTCCACAGGCATCTCAAAGGCCATGATGATTAACCTGAACTTCAGACTTGTGTTAGGAAGTGGTTTCAGTAGCTGTGATTATGAATCCTGATTCCACCATCTACTAGGTCACTAAGCAAATTAGTTCTTTAAACTTCTGTTTGCTCTTGTGTGAAATGGGAGTAATGTTTACCTCATTGGCCTATTACGCTAGCACATGTATTTACAGGGGCCAGTATAGTAACTATAGTACATATAGTAACCAAATACTAGATGCTCCCAGGTGCTACTCCTGCTTCGGTGGGTGGTATCACCACCCCCACTTACTGGTACTTAAGAGTCATCCTTGACTCTTCTTTCTTATTTATTCTTCAGGTTCTATTAGTTACCAGTCCTATGAACTTTGCTTTTAGAATATCCCTTGACTACTATTACTTTAGTTTAATCTCTATTTTTGCTCATCAGTAATATTGTAGCAACCCTTCAACAGCTTTCTCAGTCTCTAATAAAGCCCCTCCCCAATTTAGTCTCAGCCTTGTCTTGCTTAAACATCAGTCTGATCACACCAAGCTTCTGTTTACAATCCTTCAGTGTTTTCCTGTTGTCTCTAAATTTTTAATGTTTTGGCTTTCAATGTTCTTGATCTGATTCCTGCTTATTTTTTAGCCTCCTTTCTTGTGTAAGCTACAGATGGTACTTACGTGTTGTTACATTTCTTCCTCAAACCCTTCACCTCAGTTCTACAGCTCCTTTAGAAATTAGCTTTAAAGGCATCCATCTCTTCCAGTAAGTTTTTTTGACCCTCATCCTCTCACCCCAGGTCTGGGTTAGGTACCCCTTTTTATGTGCTCGGAGCCCCTAAGGATGTCTCTATCATAGCACTCTTCACAGTCTTTTGTAATAGTCTCTTTTTTCCACTAAGCTTCTTGAAGGCAGAGACCACATATCTTGAATGGCTTTGTATCTCCAAGGCTTAGAATAATGTCTGGCAAACAGTGAGTTCTCAGATGTTTGCGAAATGGATGCATTTGTTGAATGAATAAATTATCTTTTTTTCTGGAGAAATTGTAGATATAAAAAGGATCTTAGGACCCTCAATTATAGTTATAAGGCCTTTAAAAATGTCCCAATTCCTTTATTTCCTTGTTTGAAGATTATGGGTGATTTTATTTATTATGAATCAATAACATTTATGTTGTTTAGAACAAAGTAAATTGTACTATTAATGTAAATAATTGTTGCCTTCAAGGGATGGTTTCTCAAAATTTTTTGATTTTTTTTTTTATTGAAACCCACTTAGGTTCATTTTTTTCTTGCTTTCCTCTTGTTACAGTGTTGAGTCCTTAGGATCTTATTGTCTCCCACCCTCTGAGGAGCCTTGGTTTATATCAAGATTTCTCAGCCTCCACACTATTGACACTGTGAGCCAGATAATTCTTAGTTGTGAGGAGCTGTCATGTGCGTTTTAAGATGTTTAACATCATCCCAGGTTTCTACTGCTGTATGTCAGTAGTGCCCCCTAGTTTTGATGACTAAAAATGTCTTCAGACAATTGTCACATGTCTCTGTGGAGCAGGATCATCCCTGATTGAGAACCCTGCTGGTCTATACATCTTCCCATCTCTCACTTTTATCCTCAAAGAGCTTCTCCTCTGTGGAGCATATGAGTGTGATCTCCCATCTTTACAAAAAACAACCAACCAACCCACATACTTTTTTTTTTTTTTTGGTTACTCCTCTTTCCTCTTAACTTTTATTCATCATCTCTGTCCTTCCTCTTCCCATCCACTTTTCAGTGTGAATTATTTCACTCTTTTCTCCCTTTCTTTCTGGCTTGTAACTCCATGGTGCCTCTGAAAATACTTTCAAGCCTTCCATTCTCTTTTCCTGAGTTCCTGGTAGTGAATGTTACCACCACCTAGTGGTCCACGTTGTCATCATCTCTTAATCCTCTGTCCTCCTCCATCCCTACCCTACTCACCCCATTCAGTCATAAAGTCTGTTCATTTTACCTTTGGAATATCTCTAGAATCCACTTACTGGTCTTTGAATCTCAAGTGTAGTGTATTGTAACCTGGGTGACCTTTCTGAAACCGTCTCTTCCCATTTCAGACCTTCTTAATCATCAGTTCTGGGGCTGTAGTATCTGCATTTTGAAAAGCTTACCAGGTGATTTTTACACAACTCTAATTGCTTCATTCTCCCATTTAAGAAATATTTCTTTGCCTTTAGGAATTCCTAAAACTCTTACTGTTATTTTTACAAGGCACTTCTTGATGTGATCCTAGTCTATTGGCAAAGCCATTTTTGTTACAAAAAATGACCTAGGTTCTTTTAAACAAGTGTTTTGTGATGAGTCAGTGTTTAGTCATTTAGTTATTGATACATTATTTATGACTGCCAATAAAATTTATCATTGAGGGGAGAGATCAGGAGGATTGTGGGTCTTCTAACTTAATGATTAATATTTATGTGTCTATGACAAATTTGGTGGCTAAGTTATAAAATATTTAAATAATTTTGTTTTCTTGCAGGTATTTATAACAGCAATGATGTAGCAGTATCATTTCCAAATGTAGTATCTGGCTCAGGATCTAGTACTCCTGTCTCCAGTTCTCATTTACCTCAGCAGTCTTCTGGGCATTTGCAACAAGTGGGAGCTCTCTCCCCATCAGCGGCATCATCTGCAGCCCCTGCTGTTGCTACAACTCAGGTAAATTATTACAATGCTATAAAGTAACTTATAGGTGGATTTGTCATTTTGAAAGTGAGTTTGATTGGAGAAGAAATCAAATAGGGCTTCCTATGGGAATTTATAAAATATCTCCATTTGTTGTGACATATTAGTGGAAATAATAGACATTTTTACATGATATTCATGAGAGAGGATAAAGGAATACATTGTCATTAACTGATCTTTTTCAGTTTCTGAGTTTCTAATTTTGTCCTAATGTTGTAAACTAGTAATTTGGTGCGAACTTTTATTCTTTTTAAAAAGTAAGACTTAGTGGGGTGACTGGTTGGCTCAGTCGGTAGAGCATGTGACTCTTGGTCTCAGGGTTGTGGGTTTGAGCCTCAAGTTGGGTATAGAAATCACTTAAAAATAAAATCTTTAAAAGTAAAAAAAAAATAAGAAGTAGGACTTAGAAAGTATGATCCAATTTTGGACTTTTGTGGTTTAAAACATTCCTTTTATAATTTTAAAAATCACAGAAATAATATATTATTATCTCCTGTCTAAATTTTCAAAAACTGGTATTAGAGAATGATGGGATAAAGAGTGATTGACAAGTACTGTATTGTTTTCCTCCTAGTGGGAGAGAAAGAATGTACATAAATATTGTAAATAAGTGACTGTGTTGGTGATTGTGCATTTATCCCTTCCCTTTACTTTAGATCTATAAAGTTACTAGTCTTCAGGAATCCTTTCAAAGCAAGAGTCAAATCAGAAAAATTGTAATCTTGCATTATACAAATAGGACAGTAAGTAGGCAAAGCTGCAAACACACACACATACATACACACACTTTGCCAAAGGTAATAATTTAAAATTCCTTAAGTATATATTTTTTATTTGTTTAGAATTCTTTATAATTTTACTTCAGTTTTATCCAAAGCTCTATTAATAAGCCTCTTAATGTTTGGAGAAATTTAAGATTTCATTCATTTATTTATTTGAGAGAGAGAGAGAGCATGCAAGCAGGGGGAGGGAGAGAGACAGGCAAACTCCACACTGAGCACGGAGCCTGTCGCGGGGCTCGATCTCACTACCCATGAGATCATGACCTGCGCCAAAATCCAGAGTCAGACGCGTAGCCACTCAGGTGCCCCAGGAGAAATTTATAACAAAAACAAATGTCTAATTACAAACAATTAGTTAAGTAGGTTGTTTGTAAGTTGCTGTAAATTTATGCTTTATGCTATATGTTCATAATTTTTGTTGTACAGGCCTTTAGAATATACACACACTTTTTAGTATTTTTTGTAAGCTGTACATCAGAGTGCAGCATTAGTTATTTTTAAAGTATGTAATGGTGCAGGGCAAGCAGTCACCATTATAATTAGGTCAGGTATTGGAATAAACAGACAGTTCGGCATGGAAAACCAATGGCATGATTAGTGGTATCACGTTTGAAAATGAAAGTTAACTATGTGGTGAACCTCTCAGCCTGAATAAGGGGAGTTTGACTAATTTAGGAGAGTTTTTTGTAGCTCATTTCACTAGCCTTGGTGAGGTAGCCAGCATACCAGGGGTGTGGGGTTAGAGAGGGTGAAAGGATAAATGAGAGAATGGTTCTTATAAATAGTTTCATCTCTTTTAATTAAATGTAGCCATATGCTGTTGATAGCTTTCTATCCTTGGACAAAGTCTCACATGAACATTTTCAGTGTGCATTTTTCTTTTCTTTCTTTATAAAAGTCTGTTTTAATTACTCTCTGGTTAATTCCAGGCTGAATTAAGCAAAAATCTCATTTCTTCTCATTCATGATGTTTGTGGTTTTGGGGGTTGGCATTAGGGAGGTAGATGGGGGAAGTGGTGGTAAAGAGAAATTTATAGCTAGAGGGAAAATTCCACTTAACATATGACTCAACTGAAGAACAAAGAAATCATAGTTGCAAGTAATCCAGGATTCAGTCCAATTAAAATCCTTACTGTTTATCCTCTTTCCATGTTTCAGTAAGATGGGTCTCTTATAAATATGATCATCTAGTTAGACTCAAATGCTGCATGCTGAGACAACTGCATCTATGATTCTGTCTAGCAGTAAATGCTTTCTGCCTTCAAGCTGAAGCTTATTTAGCCTGGCTTATCTGGTGCTGCTGTAGCAACCATCAGTCTCCAGGCAACTGAGGCACATTGACCTCTCAGTTGAACTGAGTGCAGAACTACTTCAATTTAGCTGCCTGAGACAATAGTATTGGTATTGAATGTGCAAAATGTGAATTTTCTAGGCAACGTGCGAGGGAAATGATACAAAAATATTTAGAATAAATTGAATGTTTAGATAGGATTCTTAAAATTGTGATGTACTTGGTAATTGAATCTTCTCTTCAAAATGACAAGTTTATTTCTGTTTAACTTTCATATAGGCTCTGTTTATTTTCAAATTGCACAAGTCATTGTGCTTAGATAATCAAATGGTAGTCTCTTATTTAGGGTTTCTTTATAGGTAGTTGATTAGTAGTGCTATAAGTGGGTTAATTAAAATTAGCAATATTTAAAATGTAATTATAGACATCTTGTTACAGTTATTAAGAAAACCATCACACCAGCAAGCAAATATTTAAAAAATATAAATCAGAGAATGGAAATGTTAAATTTGAATAATGTTTTGTCTCCCTCACTGTCCCCCAAAAAACTTACTGAAAGTAGTAGTTTTTTGTGACTGGCTTGGTGCCAGCAGGATGAAAATCCAGAGGTCATTCTTGATCTTTCTGGCCTTGGTTTTTTAAGTAAGATAGACAGGCCTCTTGTTGGACTTATTTGCTGTCTTAAGAATTGTTCCCTGGAAAGTGGTCAGGGAGGTAAGATCAGGAAGAGCTTAATAGAAATTAAAAACTGAGAACAGAATTGTGCTTTTAATGGGGGGGAAAAGGAGACACTTGTAAAATTGTAGGGAAAAAATTGATGCTTAGCAGCTCTAATTAGAAAAAACCTTGAAAAAATGTTTGATAACTTAGTTTTATGTTCTTCAGTGTTAAACCCTTTTATTTGATATATTTTTTTAGAATAATTATTCTTTCACAGATAACAGCAATATAGTTAATAGTTTCTTAACATTATTAGAAGACAGAACTACTGTCCATGTGATTTTTTTTTTTTTAATGATGTGCTCTGCCCTTGTGTCATGAGTAGAGGTATAAATTAGTTTCTGTAGGTGTATCATTAATTTTTCATTTTGCCTTTCCAATTCCACTCTGTCTCCTAGTTCTGCATTCATTCTGTTTGTCTTTTGGGAAAATTCAGGTGCTTTTGTTTGAAGGATGATTCCCTTAATAGAAGAATTTAAAACTGAAAGTAATGATAAATGGTTGTATTACATTATTTTCTGCATTCTGGGTTTTGCTTTTGGGCACCATCTTCATGTAGATAATCTGGTTCCTTGTTTACTCTGTTACTATTATAAAAAATAAATTTAAAAGTAATTTATTATTTTTTTTAAAAAAGATTTTATTTATTTATTTATTTGATAGAGCGAGAGAGCACAAGCAGGGGGAACAATAGAGGGAGAGGGAGAAGCAGGCTCCCCGCCAAGCAGGGAGCCCGTTGCAGGGCTCCATCCCAGGACCCTGGGATCATGACCTGAGCCGAAGGCAGACATTTAACCATCTGAGCCACCCAGCGCCCCTAAAAGTAATTTAAATGAAGGAACTTTCAAGGTTTATTTATGTGATAATTAGTAATTGCAGGTGTTTAAGTATTTTTAATGTATAGTTAATTTGATGACTAATGTTTTGCACATTTCTGTGAGACTTTTACTTCAGTTTTGACTACTTCATTTTCCAATATGATAACTTTCGTGTGTGTGTGTGTGTGTGTGTGTGTGTGTGTAGGGAGACTTTTACTTCAGTCAGCTTTGACTACTTCATTTTCCAATATGATAACTTTCGTGTGTGTGTGTGTGTGTGTGTGTGTGTGTAGGGCGTTGTCTTAGATGTAGTAGTCCTCAATTTCCTTTCAGATGATGTCTGTACTTCCATTCTATTTGAGAAAATGGTTCAGTTTCCCAGGCAGATAGACCTGACTTCAGAGGATCTCTGACTTGATTGGTCAGAATGAGAAGTTTCATCTTTTATGTTTTAAATAATTTCATAATGACTTGTAATTTTAAGGATGTTAACATTCTGAGCAAAATAAGTTTGTATGAGTGCTTTGTTTGTAATGTCACTTACTATTGGGCGATCAAGAGGTTAAGTAACTATGTAACATCACATGTCTAGTAAGTAAGTGGTGGAACTAAGTTTCGAAACAAGGCAGTCTGACTCTGGAGTCTGGTCTCTGGTTTACTAATCATTACCATAAAAATGAATTTCCCAGTGATGTGCCTGTGTGTCAAGAGGTATCTCTTTGAAAAACACTGTTAGGAATTTTACTGTGTCCATTTGTGTGACACAATGCCAAATAGCAGAAATTTGAGTCAGAAATCTTGTTTTCCAGGAGCATTGCTACTCACTAGTGTGACTGAGCAGATCTTTTCAATTTGTGGGTGTCAACTTATTGTGTGTGTAAAATCGAGTACTTTAAATAGCTGTCCTACCTGCTATGAGGACCGGTATGTTACAAAGTTCAAATAAGTACTTTGTAGACCATAAAGTACTTTGGATTTAATGGTTATTATACTGATGTTAAAATTATTATAGGACTCTTAGTTTCAGCTGTTACAGAAACAGCCTGTTTACCAGTGAGATAAATTGTACAGAAGCACTTCCCTTACTAAAAATAGTATTAAAAATTTTTCTGTTAAAATATATAATTCCATGTTAACATAGATAGATGAAATTTAGCCATTTTAGGTTCATCTGTTGACTGAGGTCTTTACAGTTCTTAAATTATTTCAATAGCTGCTTTGGTCCTAGGGGACTTAATTTTTTCCACAAAAGATGGGTGATATATTGATTAGGTATTAACCAGTTAGGAAACCTGCTTAGAATTGGTTGGTTATTCTATACAGTTCTGTTGTCCAATCATGAGTGTTCAGTGATGGTTTAAC